AACAACTAGCACTGAAATTATTAATTTTGAAAAAAAAATTGATGTAAATATTTAGAATGAATAAAATCAAAAATTCTAATGTCACAATATCATGAAAAGAACTAACTAATAAATTATGAACATATTAAATTTCTAACTATGAGAAATTATAAAGTTAATAATAATCTTTTTTTTTTGTGTTTGAATTCCTTAAGTTACCAACATTTAAAGCCTCTTCTGTACATACCCTCTACTTGAGTCTACTCATTCGCATTTGATTGTTTTTCCTATTAAAAAAAAAAAAAAGAAAAAAAATTAGTCTTTAATGCAATGTTTTGAAAACTTATAAAAATTCAATTAGCATATATAATATTAAAGATATTTTAGTTTATTATTAAGTAAAAATTATCTTTGAATAAGTTTATATTTAAAAGAATAAATTGAATCTATACTTGGTTTATTTTTATTACCTGTGTCAATATGAAGGGTGGAAATGGTTTGTTGATACTTTTACAAAACTCTTCTATTTTTTCAACAATTTTCTGATTTAAAAAAATATTTTTTTCTTCTAAACATAGCCAAAGTTTTTGAATTTCATCAAAGTTTTTTTCTTTTATATAAATTTCAAATAAATTTTCATACAAGAATTGTAAATCTAAGTAACTTAATTTACTACATCCTTCTATCAAATTTTTTAAACCATTTGAATCGCCATCTTCATAAAGACGATCAGCTGCCGATTGTAAAATTTTAGATGTAATATCAAAATTTTTAAGATCTATAAAAAAAATATATTAAAAAGAGAATTATTTAAAAAAAAAAAAAAAAAAACAGGATCCCAAGTTAAGTAAATTTTTATATAATACTTACCCATAAGTTTTCTCAGTTCATTAACTTTTCCTAATTTAGCAAATTGATAAATAACTATTGTCGAGGTAAATGTAATACCTTTAATTTTTGCTGCAGTGTCTAAAACTTTTTGTAGTAATACAGAGTTTTGAATTTCTATTAGTTTTCCAATAAATGTTTTAAATCCCCAGAGTTGATTGGTTTTCAGAGCTTTTTTACAAAACAAATCTACAGCTTCTTCATACTCTTCCCTAAAAAAAAAATTGTAATTTACATTTAATTAAATTGTAATAAATATATGTTTATTGACCGCGTTAAAAAAAAAAAAAAAAAATGAAATATAAAAATTCAAACCTATGGACCAGTGCAGAAACCAAAGGATAGTATCTATTTTCTCTCACTATATTTAATGTTTTACCAACTTCAAAACAATCATTAACGGCTTCAACATCTCCCGTTTTAGAAAGATTCATTAAAAATTGTCTGTAATCACTTTTATCTTGTGTTGATAGTGTATAACCTAGAAAAAATAATTATTTATTATTTAAATTTTTAATAATTTTTTTTTGAAACATAATTTTCAATACTAATAATTAAATTTAAAAAAAAAAAAAAAAATTGGTAAGAGTTGATTCTGAAAATAAATTAGATGATTAACATAATTATGAAATTAACTAAAAAAAAAAAAAAAATTAATATAAACCTTCAAAAGAAAAAGGAAATTTTTTACAAATTTCAACTACATCTGAAATCCTCTTGTCTTGAATCAGTTTATTTAACTGAGAAACCCTTTCAGGAAACTGTTCCGATTTCTAAAAAAAAAAAAAAAAAAAAAAAAAAAAATTTTAATTTAATTAAAATAAAAAAACGTGTCACCTAGAAATAATAAAATTATTAATAAAAATTTAAAAAAGAGAAAAATGTACTATATAAAATATACCTTTAAATCTGATGTTGGCAATTTAGAAACTAATTCTTTGATTTTATCCGAACTGAAATTTTTTAGAATCATTTCAGAGATATTAGACGAAATATAAATATTTTTTTCCAACATTTTCTGAAACATAAAAAATTTTTGTTTTTCAATTCAAAAGTTTTTTTAATTAAATATGTAACTAAATCATCGTTTGTATTTTTTCTTTTTATTTTAAAAACTAATTATGAGATACTTACATCTAAAATAGATTCAAGTAAAGTTTCATCAATTTTTTCTAAAGTATTTCTGAAAACGCAAGTGAGAAAATCTTCTTGAATATAGTCCAAATTATTCACATCATCTACTTCCGAAGTATTGGGTAAATCATTGAAATTTTTATAATTATTTATTAAATGATGAATAACATTAACAAAAAAATCAACATTTTTTTCATTAAGCAAATTTGTCACCAATGCTTTCACAAGATACTCAAATTTTAAACTAATAGGTTTAGTGGCCGCTATAAGAAAAAATTAAATTTTATTCCGGAAATTTAAAATATAATATTGCAAAATTAAAATTAAATAAAAAATAAAACCTAAATTCTCAGCTTTTTCAAATCATTGCTTAGTATATAGAACAATATTTTAGAGTAAAATTTTGCATCCATCAAAGTTTTACTTATCTGAAAAAAAAAAAATTTAAATAAAAATCAAATGAGTTGAAAAAATTATTTAAATTAGGATTTCTCCGTTTTTATACAATAATTTAAATTTTAATTTTACGTAAAACAAAAAAAAAAAAGAAAATTTTAAAAATACCTATTTCAACAAGTGGATCCGACCCAAATATATAGTTAGGGTAAACAATTTTTGAAAGAGTTAGATAACAAGGGCGAACATTCATGTTTTTCATTTCGGCTAATACTTCATAAATGTTTTCATTTCCTTGTTTCGATGCTTTAATTAACAATGGCCAAAAATAATGTGATCGCAGAGGCAAATTTTTATTCTTCATTTCAGTAAATAAATTTAAAGCTTTTGAACTGTCTTCCATATTGAGAACTTCATTTATCGCATAAGAAATGGCTATTGATATTAAACCTGTAATGTATACATAAAATTTAGATGCATAATAAATATAATTTATTGTAATTTATATTTTTATAATTTGATTTATAAATTGTGTTAAAACTAAAAATCAAATTCATTATAATGTTTTTCAAAAAAAAAAAAAAAAAACTGAAAAACATGAATAAATTTTGGTGAAAGAAAATATAAAATATTTAGACGTTTGAGAATATTCAGTGATATTACATTAATAATAATAAAAGATTAAAACCGATTTTAAGAAGTTGAAACCAACCAAACAAAAATTACCTTTTTTTTCCATATTAATACAAAAGTTTACTAAATCTTTTATGGATCTGTGTGCAGCAAAATGCTCAACCATATACCTTCCTTGATTTCTACCACCTTCAGCAGAATTACTCTCAAGAGTGGCTTGAAATATTTTCACTGCAATAGAATCTTTATTTCTTTGAAGCAACCTGTGATTTTTAGAATAGTTTTATTTATGCATAAGACATAAAATACACTGATTATTCTTTTTCAAAATTTTTTAAATGCATTTTAAAAACTCATTGAAAACAGAGTAAAGAATTACAATATCAATATACATACAAGACAAATTTAAAAAAACCCTGATAAATACAACAACTTGCAATTTTTTAATTATTATTTTTGATGATAATTTTGGAATTCAATGATAAAAATATCAATATTTTAACTTACCTTATAATAAAGGGACGAGCTGTATTTTTATAACTATAAGACAATTTCAGTTTACTTAGTAATGTATCAATGAATTTATGATGATTATGAATTGCTAGGGTGTAAATGAGTTCTAATATTTCAGTATTTAAAAAAGTAATGTCTTTTTTTTCACATTCATCCATGAATTCTCTGATTTTTTGA